TTGTTTGTTTTTCTCTTTTTGGATTGTCTTCATGCTTAAGACCAGTGCTCAGGTCCCATATGTCTGTACTCATTGTTTCTTTATATTTATATATATATATATATATATATATATATATATATATATATATATAATGTATGTGTCTTCTTATAAAAAGTAATAGACAAATTTGCCTTTAAAATATGAAAGAATGTCAGCCACACTTAGCTACTCTTGCAGTATTTTTTAATAATCAATGAATTAAATACTTACAGTAATGTCTCCACCCCAAAACCAAACTTCCTTGATGCTTTTTACCACTCCTGGCTTGCTCGCAAGGATAGGGGAAGATTTGACAAAGCGAGAACACCCTTGAAATGCGTTTCCACCCCTTTCCTTGGGGTACAGTTTTTAGCCACAAGGAAGTACGGTAATGGCTGACGCTGCTCTTGGCATACACACAAGTCTGTCCCTCTGAGTGGGTCCACATTTAGCCAGTGGATCCTCCACCGCTGTCTTCTATATCTTCACTTGGTGAAGATATAGATTCTATTTATGTCATAAATGAAACTATAATTTAATTGGATCTCACGTTCCTGTCCTGTTTTTGCACTAGCATTGATCGGGCAGGATTAATGAGTCGCTGCAGAAACCTACAGTCCACGTGCTATGGACTTAACCTATTTAAGATGAACTCTACCCTTCTTTAACTGTGACTGTAAACTGATGCCCTGCTGTTCTTGGGCTGTATATTGGATTAACCACTTACAACTCCAGATCATTCAGAAGATATGTTATTTATCATCACCCTCTCGATGCCTTACTGTAACCAGTTTTCTATCCAGGTACATACACTATTTGCAATGGCAATAGACCTCTATATGTATATTAAATGTGTATGGGGTACTGTATCAAATGCCTTGGGGAAATCCAGCTACACCACTTCCACAGGCCTTCTTTTATCCAGATAACAGTTCATGTCCTCATAGGTTACTGGTTTCTACTAATAATACTACTTTCATCAGTAAATCCTTGGATATGGTCCCTTATCATCCCTTACAATAGTTTACTGATGTTAGGCTGACTGGTCTGTAGTTTCCAGGTATATATCACTGCTATTTTTTGAATGTTGTTTTTCACCAATAAGTTGATACCATTGCAGTAAGCTGTCCTTAAAGATTAGGAATAATGGTCTGGTAATAGTGTGTTATTAATGTGTAAATTAAGTTCAAGTGTAAGCTATCTGGTCCTAATAATTTATTCACATTACGTTTTTCAAGTCTTTTTCATTGGCTTCTGTTAGCCAAAAGGGTGTTCTGTGTTGTGGTACTAACAATGCTGTTCTGTTTATTATACCCCTCCTAGAAAATGAGGAAAAGGATGTATTTAATACAGTTCTGACCTTGCAATTTTACTCTTAATATAGTTAGAAAATATTGGGAATTTTGTTTTACTCTCCTCTGCTATGTGTCTCTTATGGTCTAATTTAGCTGCCCTAACCACACTGTTACATCTCCTGTTGCAATCATTGTAGTGTTGGAATGCCAAATGGTGACACTCTTGGCCTTATATTATTTAGAGAACAGTTTTTTTCTTGGTAATGTCTTTTTATGCTAGCATTTAGCCACCCAGTTTTCATTTTAGTTCCTTTATATTTATTGCCCTTTAGAATGCACTGGCTAATGCTATATTATAAAATGGCCCTAACACACTCCCATTTTTCCTCACTGTTCTTTGTTTCTAGAATTTGAAGAAGTTGGCTTTCGAAATTTGGTGTTCTTGTCCTACCCTTGTGTCTCCACTTCCTATGATTTATGTAGAATGTAATTACCTCATGATCACTGTTATCCCTTACTTCTACACCTGCAATCATGTCTGTGTTGTTTGTAATTAGCAGGTCTAGTAGAGAATATTATTTAGGGCATCTACCAACTGACATTAAAATTGTCCAGCAAGACTTTCAAGAAATGACGAACATTAGAAGAGTGAGCAGCTGTTTGCCCAGTGAATACCTGGATAATTGAAGTGCCTCATGATACAATTGCCCTGCCTCGCCATCATTTCTAATTGTGAGAGGAGACTGATCTCCTTTTCATCCTTAAGGTTAGGGGGGCTGTAGTATATACCCACTATTAATTTCCTGTTTGTTTCTTCCCTTTTTGAAGCTCCAACCACAAGCATTCCACCTCCTCTCTAGCTTTGTTAGCAACATCATACCTTGCAAATCACTCTTGACATACAATCATACCCTCCCCCCTCTTCTGCCTACCCTGCCCCTCTGATACAGGGAGTACCCCTAGGCAGTCGCAAGCCAGCCAGATTTCTGATACTCCCAAAAAGTTGAAATCCTTGTGTATGCAGTTCCAGTTCTTCCTTTTTTTTTTTTTTTTTTTTTTACCTCTAGCATTTGTGAGCATGTATTTTAATTTTGTTCAAGTACATACTTATTCTTTGTTCTGAGATTGCAATAAGATCACTCCCTCCAACGACCAAATTTAAAAGATCTTTCAACCTTTTGGCTATCTTCTCCCCAACAATGCTGCACCCTCCCTATTTAGGTACAGTCTGTCTCTTCTCAAGAGACAGTAAACAAAAAGTCAGCCCAGTTCTCAATGAACCAAAAAACATCCTTTCTGAACCAGTTCTCAGCCACTAGTTAAGTTCTCTAAGCTCCTGCTGCCTCTCTGGTGTGCCTGAAGTACAGGCAGTATTTCTGATAATAGTGCCTTGGAGGTCCACAGCTGTTCATGTTGTAGCTGTGCCTTTGCAGGATTAGTTTGCTGTTACGCACCTAGGTTCCATATTCTATTCCTGTTGTTCTGTGCAACAGCTTTACTAAAAACACAGAAAAACTGTTACAAGTCTTTTCCAACTCATGTGTTTATAAGGTTCTTGCATTCCCCATGCTGATTCCTGTTGGCCAAGTTTTTTGAGTTGCTGGAACAGGGCCTAGCTAGAACAGCCGCACAAATTACTGCTGATATTAGGGCGGACATACAGGGCTTGGGCACCTGGATGGAGGTTGTTGAGACGAGGTTGCAGACCACCATTGCCTGCACTAATCAGCACATGCAGCGTTTCCAAGACCTGCAGGAGCAGTCATATTTTGCACTGTCTAAAATAGATGATCTGGAGAATCACCGGATCTGAGGACTGCCGGAATCAGATAAGGACACCGACTCTATTGTGTGATCATTTCTTCATGACCTATTTCCACATCTTTCTGGGTCACCTCCTGGAACTGGATAGAGCACATCGGCTCTCCATGCTCTGATGGTCTGTCACACAACATCATTGTGAAGCCCCACTTTTATGCTTCCAAAGAAAAAGTGGTGAAAGTCTTTAGGTCTGCTGAGGCCCAGACCATCCAGGGGCATAAAGTGCAAATCTTTGCTGATATTTCACCCTACATTATCCTGAAAAGGCGTGCCTTGAAACCACTCTTGCAAGTTCCTCTTCCTCATGACATCAGATATTGATGGACCTTTCCTTTTACTTCTTCACTTTACCTACAAAAACAAACATTACGCCTTCCCTACTTTTCTGGAGTGGGAGAAACTACTGTTCCATCTCTGAATCATCTCCTTGGAACCGCAAGAGGCAAAGATCATCTCATGCAGCAGCAGAAGCCACCCTATCTCATCGCCCAATCTTTCTACTCTTGAGGTCTCAAAATTCTCAGTCCTCCAGGAATGCTCACCCACCTTAAGTTTGAAACCTGGGTTGGCCATCTCACCTGAATCCTTCTTAATTCAACTGATAACTCCTTATCCACCACCCTTCCATATTCTATCCAGAGTGCCTTAAGGGCTGTAGGGTTGTCCCCCTTACCCTAGAACGTTACTACTGGACTGCATTAGTCCATGATAGATTTGGATTGAAGGGAGAAGGTTATTTATTGTTATGATGTTTACTTGGCTTATAGCTGCAGTTTTTCTATTTTGTCAGCGGACTGGTTTTCATGCCCGATTTTTATTTTTTTTCCCTCTTATTGTGATTATCTCAGTTCAGACCGAGCCCCGAGTTATGGAGAATCCTAGTATGTGTGCCCCCCCCCCAGACTCACAATACAGGTTTTCCTTGTGCTTTGACTCAGGTCTGGACCTTGGTTATCCCTTGTGAACTATTTTTTAAATGTGGATGTACTGTATAATTCTTTTACTAACTGCCATATCTCTTTCTAACCTGTGCCTTTTTTCCTTCTCTCTCCTGCTCATTTGGAAACTCGGAGAACTACCATTTGTGCCGACTATATTATTGGGTCTTGCATCTCTCCTAAGCATGTGGACATTACAGAGTTGATGGATGGTAAGCAGCAACTTGGCTATGCTTTCTTACTCTCCCCCTCTAACTGTACACCATGACTTCATCTAAGCCCCCTTTATTACAGAATCTTTCTCATTATGCTCAGGGCCTTAACTCCCTGGTCAAGTGCTGTAAAGCCTTTCAATATTTGACAGAAGGCAGATGTAGTCTTCTTGACTCCTTTCCATGCAACTTTTACATGAGCATTTTCCAACTGGGGGCCATTACCCTCTATGGAAAAGGCTACATAGGCCATCTTTTTATATACTTTTCTTTTGTACTACACCCCCAATACTAAGCAAGTTTCTTTTTAAGCAGTATGTTTTGCACTCTTTCTCAACACTTTAAGCTTAATGTGGTATGCAGAGGGGATTCGAACCTTGCCCAGGATCTTAGTCTGGATAAAACTAAACAGTTAGGTGCACAATTGTTTGTTCAGGGCAAGTCTTTGTTTCGCCAAGCTACTTCGTTTGGTGGGTCTAGTAGATGCCTGGTGGGAAAACACCCCTCTACGAGGGATTATATGTACTACTCACAAGCTCACAAACTTTATTCCAGGATAGATCATGTGTGTGTTCTCCCTTCTCTCATCCCATCCATCCATAAAGCCTGAATTAAGAGAGGCCACTTGGTCTGATCATATCATAGTGTCAACCTCATTCATAAGCGTCACTTGTGGGGATTGCCCATGCAACTGGCAATTGAACGAATCTCTCTTAACCACTTCCCGTCCAGCCCATGTACATAAACGGCTGGACAGGGGCAGTGCAGGAGCGGGTTGCCGTTCATAAACTTGGTGCTGCTTGGGAGCGCGCAGCACCGTGATCCAGTTGCCTTTCATAAACGGAGCCCACCATTTTGGACTGAGCTCACTCCCTGGGAGCGCGTGGCACCGTGATCCGGTGTTCGCTGTGTCTGAAGTACACAGATCACTGTACAGGACCTCTGTGCGGTCCCAATCATGTGATCACTGATTGGCCAATCAGTAATCACATGAATAGTAGTAAGGAAGATGTCACTTCTGACATCATTGCTTACTACATGTGAAATCTGTGAATGATCACAGAGATCACATGGTACAAGGCTATTCACAACAGCCTTGTACCATGTGATAAGCTGTGACCAATCACAGCTCACACAGTATTTCTCAATGGCTGCAAGAATGTAGCCAGAGAGGAGGAAAAATTATTGCTTTTATGAGTGTAAAAACAATCAGTTTTTTAAAAAAGAAATCTTCATCACCCCCCACAAGTAGAACAGTGTCACTATGGTGACACTGTACTGCTAGGGTGACAGTATGTAAAAAAAAAACAAAACCATAACTATAAAAATGTAAAGTTTTGAAAAATTATAATTTTTGGTTAGAAACTAATTTGGGTTATTTTTTTACTAAAGATAACTGAATAAATCTTGGCCAAGATTTATGAAGAAAGATTATTTATTTGCAAAATTTTTGGACTTTTTCATTTATATAGCAAAAAAATAAAAATCCCAGTGGTGAATAAATACCACCATAATAAAGTTTTATCTGTCTCAAAAAAATGCTAAAAAAATGAATATGGGTACAGTGTTGCATGACAGTGATGAAAGCTGAAAATTGGCCTGGACAGGAAGGGGTTAAAAGTGTTTGGACATGAAGTGGTTAAGTGATCCGAACTAGAGAAATGCATCACAGAATATTTTCAGCTAAATCAATCTCCCTTTTTGTTTTGTGGACAGCACATAAAGCAACCTTAAGTAAACTCATCCAAATAGTTTTGCAGGTCAAACAGGGGCATAGAATGGATATAGAACGATTAGAAAAGGATCTACAATCTCTCTGTGCAACCCACAAGTGACGACCTCATAGCGCACTTCTTGCTTGTATAGAGAGACCATCCCTCAATCTACTTTTGACTACCCGCACTGAAAAGCTTACATTGGTCATCCATCTGAGTTCCATAGGTTTTATAGTAAACACTATCAGGCAACGGCTTCAGAGGATCCTGAGCGTGCCTCAGCTCTTCTCCAATTGGTTAAGCTTCCCAGATTGTCGGCAACCCACAGGGAGTTGGACTCCCCTATTCAAAGAAATTCTACAGGTCATCAACCAGATGAAGTGCTCTTTGACACCTGGGTTCTCAGCAGTCTATTATCAAAAATTTTCTGTAACCCTGGCTCCTCATTTGGAGCTTTTTTTTTCAATCCCTGAGGGCTGGTCACAATTTAGATTCAGATATGAACATTGCATGCATTTCAGTGATCCCAAAACCAGGTAATGATCCTGGTGAAGTTGAAAGCTATAGACCGATTTCCCTGGTAGACAAGGCCCTGACCAAGTTAGAGGTGCTGTTAACCTTATCTCCTTAATGCAATCAGGATGGGATGGAGGACAGCCTCAAGCAGGTATGTTACTGTTTATTGACCTTCAAAAGGAGTTTGATTCAGTCTTCTGGCGCTATCTTTTTCATCTACAAGCATAGCGTTTCAGGACCCATTTTCTCACCATTTGGCAGACTCTTTATACAAAGCTACTAGTGAAGGTGCAGCTACAAGGATACCATTTTCATGGACCTGTCTACTCTGCTTTACCCCTGGTCTGACCTCTGCTTGGTTCATGGATTCTCTCTCTCACTCCTCTGTGTATGACCTCGGCTATCCCATCTGACTATATCTGCTCTGATTCCCACCTGGTAACTGACCTTGGCTTGAATTGACTACCCAGTAAGCATCTAAATCTCAGAAGGGCTTGCATACCACGCACAGGCGCCTCCTGTCTGCAGACCCATCTCCATGCACCAGCTGTGCTTCTGAGTGAACCACCAACCAGCACTCCTACAGGTGACCTTTGCCACTTTGGGCCTGACTCCTGCTGTCCCACTCTCAGGGGAGTCCTAGACTTAGCCGCAAGGGAAGCCCTCTTTCCATTGGCCTCCATCACCAGGTACTTGATAGTATCATCCAGCCAGTATGTCTGAGGCAGAGAGAGGTGCTTCCGCACTAGAGGCCCTGTGCCAACAGATGATGGCACTTACCCAAGCAGAGAAGGATCTACAGCAAAGATACTTCCAGCTAGAAGGGCGTCTTCACTCCCTCTCTACTTCCACAGACCAGGATCCCTCCGCCAGTTCCAACCCAGTAGCCGCACCTGCCAGTCTCCTGCCACCACTCCTGCTATAGTGTTACCACCTCCTACTTCTGAACATTTTCTCGGGGATCAACGTAAGTTCAGAGCTTTCAAGAATGCCTGTGAATTATATTTTGCTCTGCAACCCAGGACCTTTTTTCTTTGGAAGCAGTCAAGGTCAGGTTCATCATCTCCCTCTTGTCTGAAGAACCTCAGTCTTGGGCACATAGTCTTCTGAAACAAAAGATCCCAGTGCTCAATTCAGTGAGTGAACTCTTTGAAGTCATGGCTGCCCTCTACAGCAATCCCCAGAGGACCTCCACTGCTGAGTCCGCCCTCCATGCTCTACTACAAAGGTCGGCGGCCTGTGGAGGACTACATAGTGGAGTTCCGTAAATGGTCAGCAGACACCGGTTGGAACGATGCAGCATTGAAGTACCAGTTCTGCCTAGACTTGTCAGAGTCCCTCAAGGATGAGTTAGCTAGGGTGGAAGCTCCCTCCTCCTTGGAGAACCTTATCCTGCTCACTGCTCGGTTGGATCGGCATCTACAGGAAAGACGCACTGAGTGTACTCAGACCTTTCGGCCCACTTGGGTTTTGCCAAAAGTTCCAGGGCCAATGGCTCCTGCCCTTGCTCCGCAACCCATCCACAATTCGGAGGTAGAACCTATGCAAATCAGCCTTCTCCGACCTGCCCTAACTCCGAAAGAAAGGCTACGCAGACAGCAAGGCAACCTCTGTTTTTACTGTGGGGCCACGGGCCACTTCCTGCTTAACTGCCCAGTACGCCCAAGTAAGTCCAGCCAGCCCCATTCTTCATACCTTCAGCTATCCGGGACTTTAACCACCAATGTCATTCTCCCCATGTCTTTGCAGGTGGCTGGAAGGGATGTCCAGTTGCGGGCAGTCGTTGACTCAAGAGTTTGTAGCTGTTTCTTAGACATCCAATTGGCCAAGGACTTACGCATCCATCTTCTGCCTTAGAAACAGAGACTTGACGTCTTACTTGCGGATGGCACTACTCCGAGTTCCGGACCTGTTACCCAGGAAACCATTCCTATTCTTGCAACCACCAACTCCGGCCATCAGGAGTTTATTCGTTTTGACGGGATCAGATCCCCCATGTTTCCAGTCATCCTAGGAATACCCAGGTTGCAAGCCCACAACCCACAGATCAATTGGCCCAAGAAGGAAATCATCTTTTCTTCAGAATATTGTCTACAACACTGTGGTGCCCCTACACCCACCAATTCTTCTGTATGTCTCTCAGTCCAATCTTCACCAGAGGCCAGTCAATCAGTTCCCTCTACCTACCATGACTTCCTTGATGTGTTTGATAAAAAGAAGGCCGACAAATTGCCTTCTCATCGGTCTTACAATTGCCCAATTGAGTTACTCCCAGGGGCAGAAATACCATTTGGGCGAATTTTCCCAGTACCCGAACTTGAACTGGAAGCCCTCCGACACTATCTAGACAAGAATCTCGCTAAAGGATTCATCCGTCCCTCTTCCTCTTCTGCCGGGGCTGGTATTTTCTTTGTAGAAAAAAGGATTGGTTTCTTAGACCTTGCATTGACTACATGGAACTTAATAAAATTACCATTAAAAACCGGTATCCTCTTCCTCCGGTGCCCAAGTTGTTTCAGAGATTTGGAACAGCCCAGATCTTCGCTAAATTGGACTTGGGGGGGGGGGGCCTATAATTTAGTCCGTATAAGAGAGGGCGATGAGTGGAAGACCACCTTCAGAACACACTTCAGACATTTTGAATACCTAGTAATGCCGTTTGGGCTATGTATTGCCCCTGCTACTTTTCAACATTTTGTGAACGATATATTTAGAGAGTACTTTGACCTTTTTGTGATCGTCTACCTGGACGATATCCTAATTTTCTCTACCACACTGGAACTCCATCGTCATCACGTTAGGAAAGTGCTAAACACTCTGAGGATGCATGGCTTGTACGCCAAGGCAGAAAAATGTGAATTTGAGAAGCAGTCCATCCAGTTCCTGGGGCTCATAATTTCCACCGAGGGGATCTCCATGGACCCTCAGAAAGTATCTGCTATCCTGGATTGGCCTGCACCTTCAGACAGGAAAGGGGTCCAAAGATTTGTGGGTTTTGCCAACTTTTATTGGAAATTTATTAAGGGATTTTCCACAATCATTGTCCCTATTACTCAACTAACCTGCCAGCATACACGATTCTGCTGGAGCCAGGAAGCTCAAAAAGCGTTTGAGCAATTTAAAAGATCAATTCACCTCCGCTCCTGTGTTACAGCATCCAGAGCCAACACTCCCCTTCATCCTGGAGGTAGACGCATCTGAAGTTGCTACAGGAGCCGTACTCTCCCAGCGCCAGGGCCCAAAGGCTCTGCTTCACCCAATTAGCCTTTTTCTTCTAGAAAACTGAGCCAAGCCGAGAGGAACTTTGATGTGGGAGATAGGTAACTTTTAGCGATTAAGATGGCATTTGAAGAATGGAGATATCTCTTGGAAGCCACCCAATTATGATTTTCACAGATCATAAAAATCTGGAGTATCTAAGGTCCGCCAAGCGCCTAAGACCTTGACAGGCTAGATGGGCTTTATATTTCCCCAGGTTTAACTTCCACATGACCTACCGCCCAGGATCCAAGAACGGGAAGGCAGATGCCCTTTCCCGCATGTTACTGGACCCAGAGGAGCCTTCTCCCCCCAACACCATTTTGTCGGTCCAAAATTTTTTGCTGCTCCAACCCAGCCTAAAGTCTTTGATCAAGCAAGCCTCTGCACTATGTCCTGAACCCAAACAAAATTTGCTTAGAAGGCAGGATGGTCTTCTGTGGCACAAGGATAAAATCTTTGTACCCCAAGAAGTGAGGTCTCAAGTTTTCAGGGCTTTCCATGACCATCAACTGGCTGGACACTTTGGAGACAGTTTGCACAGTGTGTCTGCGGAACAAGGGAGACAAAGCCAAGGCCTGGGGGTTGCTGAGGCTCCTGCCCATTCCTGATCGTCCCTGAGAGATGGTCACAATGGACTTCATTGTGGAT